TGTTTATCATAAATGGGTGTTGAATTTTGTCAAAAGCTTTTTCTGCATCTATTGAGATGATCCTATGGTTTTTCTCCTTCAACTTGTTAATATGGTGCATCACATTGATTGATTTGAATATGTTGAAGAATCCTTGCATTCCTGGGATAAACCCCACTTGATCATGGTGTACGATCCTTTTAATGTGCTCTTGGATTCTGTTTGGTAGTATTCTGTTGAGGATGTTTGCATCTATGTTCATCAGTGATATTGGCCTGTAGCTTTCTTTCTTTGTTACATCTTTGTCTGGTTTTGCTATTGGGGTGATGGTGGCCTTGTAGAATGAGTTTGGGAGTGTTTCTCCCTCTGTTATATTTTAGAAGAGTTTGAGAAGGACAGCTGTTATCTCTTCTCTAAATGTTTGATAGAATTCGCCTGTGAAGTCATCTGGTCCGGGCTTTTGTTTGTTGGAAGATTTTTAATCACAGTTTCAGTTTCAGTGCTTGTGATTGGTCCAATCATATTTTCTATTTCTTCCTGGTTCAGTCTTGGAAGGTTGTGCATTTCTAAGAATTTGTCCATTTCTTCCAGCTTGTCCATTTTATTGGCATAGAGTTGCTTGTAGTAATCTCTCATGATCCTTTGTATTTCTGCAGTGTCAGTTGTTACTTCTTTTTCATTTCTAATTCTATTGATTTGAGTCTTCTCCCTTATTTTCTTAATAAGTCTGGCTAATGGTTCATCAACTTTATCTTCTCAAAGATCCAGCTTTTAGTTTTATTGATCTGTTATCATTTGCTGCATTTCTTTTTCATTTGTTTCTTATCTGATCTTTATGATTTCTTTCCTTCTGCTAACTTTGGGAACTGTTTGTTCTTCTTTCTCTAATTGCTTTAGGTATAAGGTTAGGTTGTTTATTTGAGATGTTTCTTGTTTCTTAAGGTAGGATTGTATTGCTATAAACTTCCCTCTTAGAAGTGCTTTTGCTGCATCCCGTAGGTTTTGGCTTGTTGTGTTTTCACTGTCATTTGTTTCTAGGTATTTTTTGATTTCTTCTGTGATCTCTTGGTTATTAAGTAGTGTGTTGTTTAGCCTCCATGTGTTTGTATGTTTTACAGATTATTTCCTGTAATTGATATCTAGTCTCATAGCATTGTGGTCGGAAAAGATACTTGATACGATTTCAATTTTCTTAAATTTACCAAGGCTTTATTTGTGACCCAAGATAATCTATCCTGGAGAATGTTCCATGAGCACCTGAGAAGAATGTGTATTCTGCTGTTTTTGGATGGAATGTCCTATAAATATCAATCAAGTCCATCTTGTTTAATGTATCATTTGAAGCTTGTGTTTCCTTATTTATTTTCATTTTGGATGATCTGTCCATTGGTGAAAGTGGGGTGTTAAAGTCCCCTACTATGATTGTGTTACTGTCGATTTCCCCTCTTATGGCTGTTAGTATTTGCCTTACGTATTGAGATGCCCCTATGTTGTGTGCATAAATATTTACAATTGTTATATCTTCTTCTTGGATTGATCCCTTGATCATCATGTAGTGTCCTTCCTTGCCTCTTGTAATAGTCTTTATTTTAAAGTCTATTTTGTCTGATATGAGAATTGCTACTGCAGCTTTCTTTTGATTTCCATTTGCATGGAATATCTTTTTCCATCCCCTCATTTTCAGTCTGTATGTGTCCCTAGGTCTGAATTGGGTCTCTTGTAGACAGCGTATACACGGGTCTTGTTTTTGCATCCATTCAGCCAATCTATGTCTTTTGCTTGGAGCATTTAATCCATTTACATTTAAGGTTGTTATCGATATGTATTTTCCTATTACCATTTTCTTAATTGTTTTGGGTTTGTTATTGTAGGTCTTTTCCTTCTCTTGAGTTTCCTGCCTAAAGAAGTTCCTTTAGCATTTGTTGTAAAGCTGGTTTGATGGTGCTGAATTCTCTTAGCTTTTGCTTGTCTCTAAAGGTTTTAATTTCTACTTTAAATCTTAATGAGATCCTTGCTGAGTAGAGTAATCTTTGTTGTAGGTTTTTCTCCTTCATCACTTTAAATATGTCCCGCCACTCCCTTCTGGCTTGCAGAGTTTCTGCTGAAAGATCAGCTGTTAACCTTATGGGGATTCTCCTGTGTGTTATTTGTTGTTTTTCCCTTGGTGCTTTTAATATTTTTTGTTTGTATTTAATTTTTGATAGTTTGATTAATATGTGTCTTGGCATGTTTCTCCTTGGATTTATCCTGTATGGGACTCTGCTCTTCCTGGACTTGATTGACTATTTCCTTTCCCATATTTAGGAAGTTTTCAACTATAATCTCTTCAAATATTTTCTCAGTCCCCTTCTTTTTCTCTTCCTCTGGGATCCCTATAATTCGAATGTTGGTGCGTTTAATGTTGTCCCAGAAGTCTCTGAGACTGTCCTCAATTCTTTTCATTCTTTTTCTTTATTCTGCTCTGCAGTAGTTATTTTCATTATTTTATCTTCCAGGTCACTTATCCGTTTTTCTGCCTCAGTTATTATACTATTGATCCCTTCTATAGAATTTTTAATTTCATTTATTGTGTTGTTCATCACTGTTTGTTTGCTCTTTAGTTCTCCTAGGTCCTTGTTAAACGTTTCTTGTATTTTCTCCATTCTATATCCAAGATATTGGATCGTCTTTACCATCATGATTCTGAATTCTTTTTCAGGGAGACTGCCTATTTCCTCTTCATTTGTTAGGCCTGGTGGGTTTTTGCTTTGCTCCTTCATCTGCTGTGTGTTTCTGTGTCTTCTCATTTTGCTTAACTTACTGTGTTTGGGGTCTCCTTTTCAACAGGCTGCAGGTTTGTAGTTCCTGTTGTTTTTGGTGTCTGTTCCCAGTGGCTAAGGTTGGTTCAGTGGGTTGTGTAGGCTTCCTAGTGGAGGGGACTAGTGCCTGTGTTCTGGTGGATGAGGCTGGATCTTGTCTTTCTGGTGGGAAGGTACACATCTGGTGGTGTGGTTTGGGGTGTCTGTGGCCATATTATGATTTTAGGCAGCCTCTGTGCTAATGGATGGGGTTGTGTTCCTGTCTTGCTAGTTGTTTGGCATAGGGTGTCTAGCACTGTAGCTTGTTGGTCATTGAGTGGAGCTGGGTCTTGGTGTTGAGATGGAGATCTCTGGGAGATTTTTGCCGTTTGATATTACGTGGAGCTGGGAGGTCTCTTGTGGTCCAGTGTCCTGAAGTTGGCTCTCCCACCTCAGAGGCACAGCACAGACTCCTGGCTAGAGCACCAAGAGCCTGTCATCCACACGGCTCAGAATAAAAAGGGGGAAAAAAAAGGAAAGAAAGAAAGAAGAAGACAAAATAAAATTAAATAAAATAAAGTTAGTAAAAGAAAATATAATTATATTAAGAAAAAAATTTCTTTTTGTAGAAAAAAATTTTTTAAAATAATAAAAAAAATTTTAGAAAGAACCCTAGGAAAAATGGTAAAAGCAAAGCTATACAGACAAAATCACACACAGAAGCATACACATGCATGCTCACAAAAAGAGAAAAAGGGGAAAAAATATATATATATCATTGCTCCCAAAGTCCACCTCCTCAATTTGCGATGATTCCTTGTCTATTCAGGTATCCCACAGACGTAGTGTCCATCAAGTTGATTGTGGAGACTTAATCCGCTTTTCCTGAAGCTGCTGGGAGAGATTTCCCTTTCTCTTCTTTCTTCGCACAGCTCCCGGGGTTCAGCTCTGGGTTTGGCTCCGCCTCTGCATGTAGGTCGCCTGAGGGCATCTGTTCTTCGCTCAGACAGGACGGGGTTAAAGGAGCAGGTGCTTCAGGGGCTCTGACTCATTTAGGCCGGTGGGGAGGGAGGGGTACAGAGTTCGGGGCAAGCCTGCATCAGCAGAGGCCGGCGTGACATTGCACCAGCCTGAGGCGCACCGTGCATTCTCGCGGGAACATTGTCCCTGGATCACGGGACCCTGGCGGTGGCGGGCTGTACAGGCTCCCGGGAGAGGAGGTGTGGAGAGTGACCTGTGCTTGCACACAGGCTTCTTGGTGGCGGCAGCAGCCTTAGCGTCTCATGACCGTCTCTGGGGTCCGCGCTGATAGCCGCGGCTCACGCCCGCCTCTGGAGCTCCTTTAAGCGGCGCTGTTAATCGCCTCTCCTCGCGCACCAGGAAACAAAAGAGGCAAGAAAACGTCTTTTGCCTCTTCGGCAGCTCCAGACTTTTTCCCGGACTCCCTCCCGGCTAGCTGTGGCGCACTAGCCCCCTTCAGGCTGTGTTCACGCCGCCAATCCCAGTCCTCTCCCTGTGCTCCAACCTCTGAAGCCCGAGCCTCAGCTCCCAGCCCCGCCCGCCCGGGCGGGTGAGCAGACAAGCCTCTCGGGCTGGTAAGTGCCGGTCGGCACCGACCCTCTGTGCGGGAATCTCTCCGCTTCCCCCCCCCCCCCCCCCGCCCGCACCCCTGTTGCTGCGCTCTCCTCCGAGACGCCGAAGCTTACCCCCTCCGCCACCCGCAGTCTCCGCCCGTGAAGGGGCTTCCTAGTGTGTGGAAAGCTTTCCTCCTTCACAGCTCCCTCCCACTGGTGCGGTCCCGTCCCTATCCTTTTGTCTCTGTTTATTCTTTTTTCTTTTGCCCTACCCAGGTACGTGGGGGGTTTCTTGCCTTTTGGGAGGTCTGTGGCCTTCTGCCAGCGTTCAGTAGGTGTTCTGTAGGAGTTGTTCCACGTGTAGCTGTATTTCTGGTGTATCTGTGGGGAGGAAGGTGATCTCCGCGTCTCGCTCTTCCGCCATCTTGAAGCTCCTCCCCTCCCCGACATGACTCATTTTAAAATCCAGTATTCGTTAATGAATGCTATCTATGAAAAATATTTCTTCATTGTCATGAATTTCTGTAATTGTTTGAGGGTCATAGTGGCCAAGGTGGAAAAACATTCACCAGAAAAACGTTAATTATTAATAGCAATTACTTGGAAAGAATATAAAAGGATTCTTCAATTCAAATGATAGAATGTACTCTATAAAGATTCATCTGAAATAATGAAGACTGTTAGAACCATATCTTTGCTTGTTTTCTTCAGCTCCATTAAATGTCAGACTCTTCAGAGAAGTTTACTAGATGCAGGTAGGGAATCCTATTTACAATCTATACAGCCATGTGCCAGGAGATGAAGCATAATGACTATTAACATATACATGGAAAGGCTATCTTTCTCAGTGCTCATCACTGTCAGTAGAGTCATTGAAGATTGCTAGAAATTAACCTGTGGAATAGATACAGAAAGAGAATTGATATATTGAAGCAACACACACAGGAAGATCTCATTTTCCATTTTCCACCTTACTTCCACTCTAGGTCAGAGAATGACATATTTCAAACTTGTATTTAAAATTGGATAAATGATTTTAGATAGAGCAATAGTGTTTATAGTAGCAAGAATAATCCCATGAGCTACATTATTCAGTACCTACTATGTGCCAGGCACTGTGCTCAATGCTTCACACATAGGCTTTCATTTAATCCTAACAACCACCCAATGTAGTAGAAGTTATTTACATTTGATAGAGAAACAGAACCTCTGAGTGCTTAAGTTATTTCCTCAAGGCCATATTGAGTATCAGAGCTAGAAGCTGAACCCAGAATAAGTTATCTCCAAAGCCGTTACTTGTTAATATGTAAATAATAATGGTTTCTTTATTAAATAGATAGCTGCTAAGCTCTTTTGAAGCTATTGATATTAGAAGGAAGACACTGTTTTCAATAGAGAGCATGTGTATGTGTATGTGGTGAGTGGAGATGATGAAGATGATGAGCGAATCCAAGATGTATGAGTTACTGTCTTTGCCAAATTAAGCCTGGCAAAGTGTTAATGTTTATAGTTTTGTTCCTAATGCCAGGCTTTAATTTTCTTAGTGTTCTTTGCATGTGCTAGTGACTTCTAATAAGTGATAACCAAAGAGTCAAGTTTAATTAATTCAGAAGTATCAATACAGTATGTGCAACTTATTTGTAAGCCAATGACGGTTCAACTACATGATGTGTTTGACTAGAAAGAAATCATTCACAGAATACAGTTTAAATAAAAGAAAAGATATATTCTTATAATTTGTTCTGGTTTATGATATAAACAAAAATAAATCTGGAAATTTATGAATGAATATATATAGATTTGAATTGTCAAAGGGGATTTCAGTTTGGAAAATTTCCTTTTCTGTAAATAAAATCTCATTTTTTTTCAGCCATGCAGCACTCTAATAGCCAGAATTATCTAGAGGAGAACTTGAGAGCTGTGTGAGTTTTATTATCAGTATTCTTTTGTTTGAAATTTAAAATCATATTAATTATTTTTGGGGGGGAGTAGGGCAGTGATATAACAAGATTGATGGAGGAAAAGAGTTTGATTCTATTGTCAGCATTCACACAAGTGTTCTGTTTCAGCACTAGTATTATGGTTGCACAGTTTCTTCAGAAATTGACTTATGAAAAAGTACAAACCATAGTTAAAGAATTGCTAGATCTTGCAGAGAAGTGCAAGAGCCTCAAGCCACATGAATCACCTTCAGAATGTTGTCACCAATTGGTAGGTGAATCATGTTCTGCCTTTTTCTCTCTGTTGTTTTAAAAACTAAATTGCAAACAAAGGATGTTGTTATGAAGTGGGATGATTGAATAATTAGGCAAGGGATTTTAAGGCAACAATATGTACATGTGTCACACTCAAGATATAATCTTTGTAGGTTTATAAACTTACATTTTATCATTTCATATCTGGGAGATCAGACTCTGAGAACTAAATGCTCAAGAGAATGAATTATACCCTAGAATGCCAATTTGTTAATTTAAGTAGGTTGCTCTGTCTCTGTCACTAGAATATTATTGTCTGACATCCTCATATAAAGGTTTCTGGGAAATTAACGTACTGATTTTAAAAGTTTCTAAGAGAATATAAAAAAGAAGAAAAAAGTGAATATTATTATAGGCTTTTTTCCCACTTAGTAGAAAATCTTGAAAATTACTATCATCTAATAAAATATATCTATCTTGTGATTAGAAAAATTCTTGATAAAAACTAACATATTCTTATAATCTACATATTTTTGTATCAGTTATTCTCATATCAACAATTTAAATACAAATAAATAATTTTCTTTTTTATTTATAGATTTTTTTCACTCCATCTTCTTGGGCTAAAACCTACCTTTTTTTTTTTTTTTTTTTTTACCAGACTCTAAGTAGTCATAGAAAAATCATTAGTCTAATTAGAGACACACTTTAAATGAAGTTCCTTTGCCAGTGGCTAGCCTCACTTATTTTATATCGATTTCTTCTTATTTCCATTTCCAAAGATGACCTTTTTCTGCCCTTATCCCACAAATCTGGAAGCATATGTCATTTGAGGTTTACAGCATCCCACACATTTACTGCCATTCAAAGATACTTGAAAACTGAATCATTACATTTCTATTTGAATATTTGACACCGAATACACATTGCCTCAGAGTTTAACTTTTAAAATAAGCTCCCATGGAAACCAACTAAAAACAATCAGGAAGCAAGGAAAGCAAACTAAGAGCTGTTTCTTGGTGGGTAATTCTTATTAAAAATACCTTGATTTCTTTAGGTCCTGGACATTTTGGCTTACCTTTATTTTAATACCTTCAACTGTATGAAAATGTAGCACTTACATAGGTAGGGAGAAAATGATAAATTCTATTTGGCCAATGTCCAGCATGTGGGAATTTAGACTTAAGAACCTTTTAAAAGGCTTTCACTCAAAAGAGCTATGTCCAGGGACTGTTGGATACAGAGTATAACATTAAGCACTCAGTTGCCTTTTCTATATAATTCCTTAACTTTCCTGTGGTTAGAAATGTAGACCACAAGTGCCTTCCCTTAAGTTACTATTTCCTCCTACAGATGACTACCTTCCTAGAGCATATTTGCAATAACCAAGGGTTGGCTGACAGACATGTGTTTTCTGACTGTTGCAATACAAATAACTCAGCAAGACACAAGTGCTTCCTGTCATACAAAAAGGATGTTGCAGGTTACAGTGATATATTCCAAATTTCAAATCCTGAGCAGATCTGTGAGATGGACAAAGAGAATCATGTGCCAGTGAAAGAGAAGTAAGTCATATTTCCTTGCCAGGTCTTTGAAAAAGAGTATTTTCCAATTTTGAAGACAGATCTTTTGTTTTAATATAAAAGCCTCTGAGTACCCAAAGCTTGATTATGTAAAATGAAAATTTGAGCTACAATTTATTTTTTTCCCTCACAATGACAACATGGTCTTAGTAAACCCAAGAGGGCATGAAAATGTCTGCACCATGAAACATTAAAAAGGACTAGGATCTGTAAGAGACCCATCTCCTCAAAGGTTAGGTTGGTCAGACCAGTAGCAAATGATGTTGAAAAATACAGTCTAGTAGGCAAAGCACACTAAACAGAGTATTGGGAATAGAGAGCAGGTAATAGCTCAGGCATTGGGCTAGTATTTGGGAGGTTCACGAAGGGATAGCCGGAGGGGTATCTGATAGGCATGGAGATAGAGTCTGTCATTGGGAACCTAGGAATAAGTAATACTTGTGGATCGGACAGAGATGAGTTTTCTACTCAAGAACTCTGATTCTGTAATTTCCACCTGGAGTGGATGGCATGATAACCCATGGGTAGGTGAGCTCATATTTTGGTTTCCTAGTTAGCACAGAAGTCTATCTTTTGAGAGTGAGGTACGAGCAAGTTAGAGGCAGGAAACCAAAACCAGAGAGAGGTAGAAATGACAAGAGAAGGACAAAGCTTCAGTTCTCAAGGAATGTAGTTCTGGCCATCTGGTCAAGACAGACTCAGACACTAGGAAAAAGGAGAAGATCTGATTGCTGGATCTAGTGCAAAAGGCATGGTGGTGGTTTGATTTCAGATTTTAGACATGAAACTCTAAACCAGAAATGAATGAGCAGACAGGGTGACTTGATGTTGAACAACATAAACACTTTTAATTCACCTATACATGGGCAGAATTGCCCCAGAAGTTACTGAGCCTTCAGGAAGGAATTAAATGGCCCCAGTCACTTAGGGAGAAAGGACTAAGAGATAAGGGATTGGGCCGGTTCCAACTGGTCTGACATTAGGGGCAACCAAATGGGAAACTGTAATATGAACTTGGCTACCTATTAAATGAAGTGCTAGCCACTCTAGGTGAGATTTATAAAATCAGGTTCGGGCATTGTAAAATCAAATTTGAGCATTCAGAGATTATGAAATCTAACCAATACTCAGGCAGTGAATCTAATCTCTTCTTGAACATTTATGATTAAGTCAGTATCAAAGAGTTATTTATATGCTAATTTAACTTATGTGCATACAACCATAAATATTTAGGGAAAAATAATTTTCTAACTACTTGCTTCATAATTATGTCAACAACTTTGTTTAGTTCTCAACCAAAGAAACAGTAACATATCAAAGCTAGAGGAAAAGTCTGCTATTTCAGTCTTATCAAAAGATAGCATAGAATACAGATACACCAAACTGTAGTTATTGTATCTTTGGATTATCTAAGGAATTTTCAATAACAGTTTTGATCATTGTAAGATAAGTGTGACCCTTTGTTACCTTGCAATAGGGACATTCTATTTTTAAATGGCTCTAATTATTAGAAAGCTTTTTCCTTATACTAAGTTCAGCTTTGCCTTTGGAGATTTGAAATTAGATTTGTTCATACTGAAAATCCTCTATGGGAACTAAGTTACTGCAGCACAAAAATGAACTCTTAGTTTAGCATAGTACCCAACAGAGAGCAGAGATATTGAATGGCTCCAATGAAATTTCCTATCAACCAGGAATTTTGCCTTATCTTGGGTGGCAGTTGTATCTTGATAATGTCAGTTCTGCTTTCCTTTTTTTACAAGTTGGGCTTGAGAAACTTTGCTGAAATGAAACAAATCTATTGACTGAACTTCCAAGAGTAAGGGGGGTGAGGGTGGAGGTTGGGCGGGGGTCAGCATTTCCTCTAGTTTAGCCTTTTGCTTATACTATCCCAAAAATGATTAAAGACTTAACTATACTTTCATTTTGGCTTTTTGTCTTCATTGGCTACTCTGGAACTCTTCCAAGGGGTAACTCAGGAGTGCAAGATCCTTCCACCTTGGAGCTATACCATCTGGAGCAAGTGTTTCCAAGGTTACTGCAAAAAAGAAAGAGAGAGACTAGGGAACTGTGCAAAGTAATTACTAGCCAAACCTAGGAGTGGTGTATGGCATGTTTATTCATATTTCATTGATTAGAACTCAGTTATATGTTCCCACCTAACTGCAGGAGAGGCTGGAAAAGTAGTCTTCCTGTGAACATAAGAAAAGAAAGTGGATTTGTGTGAGCATTGAGCCAGTTTTTGTCTGCGATGTCAGCTTTTTCGGGGTATTTGTGTGTGTGGGGAGGTGGGGCATAAATAATTTGAGTAAGCTTTGTGGAATAGTGTGAGGAGATATGATTATAAGTGAAAGGCAGGCCTGGTGCCCAGGCTCTATAATGAGTGTAAACACCCACCAATAGCTTCTAAATTTAACTCCCCTTCACCAGGTGTACAATTCTCCATTTACAATCAGTTTAGACTATTGAACTTTCTATCTCCTACTACTTATATAAAAATGAAAAGTTTTAATTACTGATTTTCTTTACTTACTGGTCCAGAAAGTACAGTTGGTGACTTCATGGGCACTGTCTAACCTCACAGTGATCTCTCTGTAGTGAACTTTTGATGCATTTAAGTACAGTGCTATCCTATTTCTGTCACCATGAAATTCTAGAAGTTTCAGGTCAACAAAACTAAATGAATCCTAAGTTTTTAAGAAACAGTGTCAGCATATGTTCTTGAATTCCAAATTATATAGCTTTGTATTTGTCAAATTACAGGTACATTTATGAAACTTCTAGGAAGCATCCATTCTTGTATGGACCCACTATTCTGACCATGTCTGCTTGCTATGAAACAGCTGTTCGGTCTTGTTGCCAAGAAGACAATAAGACTGAATGCTTCCAGATAAAGGTAAGCTATTCATATGTCAGCCCTTACTTAGGGACTTGTTACGCTAAGTGTGGACTATGGACCAGCAGCATATGCATCACCTGGAAGCTTGTTAGAAATACAGTCTGAAGCTTTTCTCCAGACCTGCTAAAGAAGACTTCATTTTAACAAGATACTCAGGCAATTCTTATAGTCCTTCAATTTTGAGAAGCATGATCTAGCATAAATATAACTTCATAGTAAGTATTTAATATTCCAGTTATTATTTCTGTATAACAAAACACCCCAAAATTTAGTGGCTCAAAACAATAACAATTAGTTTATTACTCTTATGGTTTCAGTGGGTCAGGAATTCAGGAAGGGCTCATCTGGGCTTTTCTGGCTACTGATTTTTCATGGGGGTGCAGTCAATGGCTGGGGCTCTGAAGGTCTGTAGTACCTGGGGGTTGGTCCAACATCTCTTTCTCCTCATATTATCTCAGGGCCTTTCCATGTGATCTCTCTGCCTTGGCTGGTTTGGGCTGCTTCACAGAATGGCAGCTTCAGGGAAACTGGACTGCTGACATATGGCCAAAGTCTCAAGAATGAGTTTTCTAGTGGATGAAGCAGAAATTGCATGGCCTTTTATGACCAGGATTCAAAAGTTACTTCTGCTCTACTCTATTGGTTGAAATATCATAAAATGTCACCAGTTTGAAGGGGAAAGTAAATATACTGTAACGAAAGCTCATTGTAAGAACATGGGATAGAAGTTGTTATTATAGCCATCTTTGGAAAATACAGTTAGCCTCACACTTAATTTTAACTGTGTGGCTTTTTCTCCTTCATTGAATAGACATAAATCGGTGATTAGTTCCATGATAAAAGTACTTTTTATGTATGTTCATTAAAGGTTCTAAATATCAACACAAAATAACCATCCTTAGAAGGCACACCAGATGCATTTTCCCCAGGGTCATGCTGAAATGAATAGTAGTTTGATAATCGTTTTGATGAATTCCTCAAGTCTAAGGGCAGTGCTGCTTCTTCCTTGCTGTTTTCTTTGATCTCCTCAGTGAGAATTTCTCTCATATTCCTCTCAACCCCTATTTCTCTATTCCTCTAAAGCTATTTCTCCTGTTGAGCTCCTCATCATCTACCTTGTGTAAGAAATTAAATAATGTATCTAAAGAGTCTGACATATGCTAAGTACTCAATAATCGCAGCGATTATCATTAAAGCTACTTATATATATTTCTTTCCCTAGTCATCTCCAATTCCTTCAGAAGCCAATTCTGAATTCCTAAGCAGGACAGTCATTTTTTTCTCCTGTTGGCTTCATATTATTAAACACAACAAAAACAAGTGATTGTGTAGACTTAGGTCTCATTACCTGGCATTTTGGAAGAATGAACTTTTTCATGAAGGTGAGTTTTTTTTAGGTAACTTGTTTCAAAGTTTTCTTAACCTTAACCCTTTCAGAGGAAATTTTTCCTTAATGTATAACATGCCCCTATAATTTTTTTAAAATTTTTTTATTGGAGTATAGTTGATTTACAATGTTGTGTTAGTTTCTGCTGCACAGCAAAGTGAATCAGTTATACATATATCCACCCTTGTTTAGATTCTTTTCCCACATAGGTCATTGCAGAGTATTGAGTTCCTTGTGCTATACAGTAGGTTCTTCTCAGTTATCGATTTTTTATATAGTAGTGTGTATATGTCAATCCCAATCTCCCTATTTATCCCTACCCCGCAACCCCGATTTCCCCCTGGTAACCATAAGTTTATTTTCTACATCTGTGACTCTATGTCTGTTTTATAAATAAGTTCATTTGTACTATTTTTTTAAGATTCCACATATAAGCAATATCATATGATATTTGTCTTTCTCTGTCTGACTTATTTCACTCAGTATGACAATCTCTAGGTCCATCCACATACTAAGCATAAGCAGATGCTTTTAAGTTAGCTAAGAGTTCTTTTCTCCTCTCCCTCACTTTGTGATGTTTACAGTCTTGCTGCCTCCAGGGTGTCTGTTTCAAGAAGTTATTACTCCTTGCCCAGAGAAAATTGCATAGCCAATCATGTAAAACTTGTATCTATGATCAGAGAATGCGGTTTATGAGTTAAGCCTTCACAGACTCTCTTGTGAAGAAATGGATAAGCTTGTTTGTATTTGATTTCAAATGAGTATAATACAACAAAATAAGAATAAAAATAATAATTATATTTATAATTAATTATAAAGTATAATTTATTATCGTTGTGCCAGATTTGTGGTTTGAATATTGCCTCTGTATACATTATCTAGCTTGTTCTTAAAAAAAAGCATTGTAAGGTGTTGTTACCCCAAGTTAAAATAATATATGGTCCATATAATGTTTTAAGTGAATATATAGAGCTCTTCTGAAATTTTAAAATGTTGTTTATTCTCCCATCACACAGAGATACCAATTTTGGTATATTTCCTTTTATTCATTTTTTTCATTCACAGGTTTTATTTTGTACATTGTTGTGATCAAATTGAATATATAGTTTTGGTTAGAGACCTAAATACATGTGCTTTTTATTAGAAGTCAAAAGTCAAAATTCTGGGTTAAAGAATATGAACGTTTTCTGGGGGGGGCTCCATTAATATATATTGCAAAACTGGAGCATATATCATAGATAAGCATTTGGAAACATGTTCAAGATGACAGGGCTAGTAACTTGAATAAAACCAAAATACAACTGTAAGACGTTATTAAAATTTATTCTAGTGGCTCCCTGGATTTTTGTTTGTCCACTTTCTTGTTCTCATTTATATGCCAAATGTCTAAGTTCTGGGACGAACAATCTCTGGGGAAGTGAGATGCTATTTTATAAAAAACAAAAAACAAAAAAACAGAACCTTCACCAAATTATGCTTTTACATTTGGCCTCATAGATAAGACAATAAAAACTTTCTAATTTTGAGGAGATACATGATTTTTATTTTTCTCTCGTCTTTACTAACCATGAGATAAACTTCTTCTGTTGTTACCATAGTTCTTTGATGAGTCGATTTTCTAATTACAGCTAGAACCCATCAGAAAATACGTTAGAGAAATATCTTCGAGGCATCACCACTTATGTGAGATTGGGATTAAATTCAACCACAAAGTAGCAAAAGCAGTGTAAGTTACCTATTTAGATTTGTGGACTTTGTTGCTTTGTATCACCCTCTTTGATTAAACTCATTTGAAAAATCATTTATCTTTCATTTGCTAATGTCTCAGTGCAAATCTGTTTCCTTTCTCTACACGTGTGCTATTTGCCTGTTCAATAGGGCACACTGGGCTGTGCCTGAAACTGCACAGTCCTCCTCTCTACCCACTATCTCCTGTGGGGTTGATATCTCCTCTATCAACTTCTTCCATCAGCTCAAATCCTTTAGGCTCTTCTCCAGTGCACAAAAGTTTCTGTACATTCAGATGCTCACGCTTAGTAGTTCTTCATGGTAAAGGCTGGAGGACAAAAGGTATTTTTCTCTTGGAAGATAAGAAATATTTTGGCTCTAATGTCATGTAGGACAGAAAAAGTGAGTGGTGTTTTTTGAGGTGGGGATAGAGGAGTGTGGGGTGGGAGGAGAATTTGATGCTACTCAGTGTGCCTCTATCTTGGGCCCAGATTGTGTTTCTGTCCCAAGTTTACCCCTGAAGACATGCATCTTCCCTGATATCACCTTCATCCCCAATTTAGGATAACAGTGGGCTGCCTGGAAGCTCAGTTTTCCTTATAAGGCAAGCCCATTTTTCATATCTCTAGAAAAATTTCAGGGATGTTTTTCAGTTGTCAACAGAGAGGGACAAGGGAGAACCAAACCTCTTACAATTATTATCTTTTGGATAAAGAATTTTATTTGGAACGTCAGGTCAGATAAATTCCCAAATTACCTATCTAAGCAACTCAACTACTTTAAGCAATAATTTGAATGATGAAAATGACTGTATTTACACGATTATGAAGTGAATAATTTTCATTTTGTGATTTACATCTTTGTATGGCTCTGGGTTCTATCACTGTAGAAATGGAAAACACTTATAATATACAACTGTCTTCATCCTACATTTGCAACTGTGTTTCTATTCTTTTGGTTACTCAATGAACTACAACTAATTTTAGAAAGAATTGAATTCAAAAAACTGTTTAAAATGTACTTTTTTTTTTTTCAGGGAATTGGTTCTGTTGACTAAAAAACAACCTAAAGCTAACTTTTCTGAAATTGCCAAACTGGCCACGGATATTAAAAATCTGCATCAGATCTGTTGTGAAGGAAATACAGTAGGGTGTGTGCTTGGCAGAGTAAGACTTTCTCTTTTCTTAAAACTCTTTAAAATACTTGTACTTTTTAAATAAAAGTGAGGGTGGTATAGATGAATCTAAAAAAGTAATTATCATTTCTCAATATTACCAACAGAATGGTGTCTCCCCTCCTCTCTCTTCTCTTCTCATGAAACAATTTTTTTCTTTCTTTTCCTCCCTTCCTTGCTTCCTTCCTCCTTTCCTTCCTTCCTTCCTTCCTCATTCTACCTACTTTATTCTTTTATTCTTAAATTTTTAGAGCTGGCTGCTAATTTTCTTCCAAATTGGGATTGTATTTCATTCATCTTTGAATCTCTAGAAAGTCTTAGAATTGCAAACTATACCCTCAGGCCTTATCAGCCTGGAGGAAAGAAGAAACCACCAAAAGCAAAGATGTGACATCAAGGGACAAGGGCCAGGGCATGGACAGCATAGAACTCACCTGCCCCACGTCCAAATGGAAAGTCTCAAAATCCCAGAGAAGGAAAAAAATTGTAGCTGTTAAAATCCTGATAACGTTTTAGTAAATCACAAGTTACAAGTATGTTCCTATTCATTCTACAAGTTTGAAAACTGAATAATTTTCATCATGATACAAAATAAAACAGAAACAAAGAAAGACGACAATCATGATTTCAGTGAGGAATCTATGACTCTTATGGGCAGAAATCCTTACCCCCAACAATTTTTGCCCCATTACACATAGATTAAGGAATGTGGGTAACAATATTAATTAAAATAGAAAAATCATTGAATCGAACACTCAGTAGAACCCCTAAGATTCTAAGTCCTCAAATGTCTACTTTGCTGGAACAGAGAGTTGGGGTCGGACCATAGCTTTCCCTTGGCAGCCATCGCAGTTGGCCATTGCTTGGTCAGTGCCACATTCAGCTTGACCGAAAGATGGTGGCTGCTACTGCCAGTTCCATCCTGGAGATAGACAATATAAAGTTGCTTCTTGGATTACTTCCCGTATGGCAAGAATCTCAACGCATACTGGAAGCAATACTATCCTATACACTTAGAAGTCGTGCTGGCTCTTTAGGATAGGCTCTCAGGATCCTATTTGCATGACGATTAGGTGAAAATTACAGGGAACTTTGGGACCTATCCATAGGTATTAAAACAAAACAAAAGAAAAATCTCTAAAATCCTTTAACACATAAACAATACCCATGCCAAACTGGTAACTCTAGAACAGCTCCTGTTATTGTCTATACTATGACAGGAATGCTAGAACAATCTCCAGTTATTTAATTGTATTAGGTAGTATTAATAAGCAATATAAAGTAACTTCAGATAGTTCTGGCATTCCTTTCTTATTCTAGACTATAAAGGAAACAGGTTTAGAGTTATTAGCTTGACAAAGATACTTTTATGTGTTGAGATGTTTCACTCTGTTTTAGAGGTTGTCTTGTTTTGTCTTAAATAGGATGGATTCTGAACATTAGTAAATATTCTTTTGTCTTCTTGGGATGATCATTTGATTTTTATTGTTTGACTTATCCATTGAAGAATTATATTAAAAGATTTCTTAATATTTACCCATTTTTACATTGCTCAAGTCAATATCATTTTACTATATCTATGGTGTCTCTCTCTCTCTCCATATATATATGTCACAATTTTGCATTTATCTTTAGATGTGAAATGGATCTAGAACTTTCTTTTTTGGCACATATTTTATCAGGTTTTGGTATCCAGTTATGATAACTTCTAAAAGATGAATTAGAATTTTTTTCCTTTCGAATTCTCTGAAATAACTTAAATAGCACTGTAACTTACCTGTTTTCAGGTTTGTCTGTGAAACTGGAGGAGGGATGGAGGATACAAACTGATGTGACAGCTTCTCCATTTCTTTTGTTATGGATTTATTTAAACATTTTTTCAGTCAATCTTTATTATTCATGAATTCTATACTTGAGAATTCACCTACGTGCCAAAATTTATTTGTGGCCCCAAATCAATACTCACAGCACTTTGTGGTCATTCCCAGATTTATGCATGCTCAGAGCAGTGGAAATCTGAGTTGCCACATGTGCATGGCTCCAGCTAGAACAGAACAAGGTGATGCTCTCTGCCTTCTTGTTGTAGCTCTCATACTGTAAATAGGTGTTCTTTTTGCAGTCTATTAAGTGCCACATTTTCTGCATTTCTGTGCTTTTTGTTGATGAGTTAGCTCTTTACAATGGCCCGAGTATAGTTCTGAAGTGTTGTCTAGTGTTCCTAGAAGCTGTGGTGTGCCTTGTGGAAAGAATATGTATTTTATTTTATTAGAGTATAATTGCTTTACAATGGTGTGTTAGTTTCTGCTTTATAACAAAGTGAATCAGCTATACATAAACATATACCCCCATATCTCCTCCCTCTTGCGTCTCCCTCCCACCCTCCCTATCCCACCCCTCCAGGCGGTCACAAAGCACCGAGCTGATCTCCCTGTGCTATATGGCTGCTTCCCACTAGCTATCTGTTTTACATTTGGTAGTATATATAAGTCCATGCCACTCTCTCACCTCGTCCCAGCTTACCCTTTCCCCCTCCCTGTGTCCTCAAGTCCATTCTCTATGTCTGCATCTTTATTCTTGTCCTGCCCCTAGGTTCTTCAGAACCTTTTTTTTTTTTTAGATTCCATATGTATGTGTTAGCATACGGTATTTATTTTTCTCTTTCTGACTTACTTCACCCTGTATGACAATCTCTAGGTCCATCCACCTCACTACAAATAACTCAGTTTCGTTTCTTTTTATGACTGAGTAATATTCCATTGTATATATGTGCCACATCTTCTTTATCCATTCATCTGTCGATGGACACTTAGGTTGCTTCCATGTCCTGGCTATTGTAAATAGAGCTGCAATGAACATTGTGGTACATGACTCTTTTTGAATTATAGTTTTCTCAGGGTATATGCCCAGTAGTGGGATTGCTGGGTCGTATGGTAGTTCTATTTTAGAATATGTATTTTAGATAAGCTTTGTTCATGCATGAGGAACAGTGCTGGTGGCTATGAGTTCAATGTGAATAAATCACCCATATGCAGGAGTCCCCCTTATTGCCCCCTTTGCTTCCTGAGGTTTCAGTTAATCACAGTCAACTTTCATCTGAAAATATTAAACAGAAAAATCCAGAAATCAACAATTCACAAGTTTTAAATTGTGCACCATTCTGAGTAGCATGATGAAATCTTGTGCCATCTTGTGCCATCTCATCTGGGACGTGAATCATCCCTTTGTCCAGCGTTTCTCGGGGATTAGTAACTTAGCAGCCATATAGGTTATCAGATTGGCTGTCCTGGGATCACAGTGCTTGTGTTCAAGTCACCCTTACTTTACTTAACAATGGCCCCAGTGCACAAGAGTAGTGATGCTGGCAATTTGGATCTGCCAAAGAGAAGCCATAAAGTGTACCCTTGAAGTGGAAAGGTGGAAGTTCTCAACTTAATAGGAATGAGAAAAAAAAAATCATATGCTGAGGTTGCTAAGATCAATGGTAAGAACAAATCTTTTATCTGTGAAATTGTGAAGAAGGAAAAAGAAATTCATGTTAGTTTTGCTGTCACACCTCAAACTGCCAAAGTTTTGGCCACAGTGCATGATAAGTGCTTAATTAAGGTGGAAAAGGCATTAAAATTGTACAATAAGGTATTTTGAGAGAGAGAGAGAGAGACCACATTCACATAACTTTTATTACAGTATATTGTTATAATTGCTCTATTTTATTATAAGTTATTTTTGTTAACCTCTTACTGTTCCTAATTTATAAATTAAACTTTATCATAGGTATGTATGTACAGGAAAAAACATAGTATATATAAGATTTGGTACTATCTGCAGTTTCAGGCATTGACTGGGGGTCTTGGAATGTAACCCCTGTGGGTAAGGGGGGGCTACTCTATATTAAATAAGGTGTTTTTAAACAGAAACATACACAAAATAAGGTTATGTCTTGATCTGTTGACGAAAATGTGGCCAGAGACTTGCAGAAAACTTGTTCTGTATTTCCTCTAGGGTAGATGATTCAATATTCATGAATTCAGTGTTTATAACTACTGTGAGTAATGAGAATCAACTGTACTTATTTTTGTCAGGTTTTAAAATATACATTTTCCTTTAAAAAAATCTCCTTCATTAGCACTTTCTCATTTAGAAATATAGAGTTCTACATGACAATATTATTATTTGATAACTAAAAACATCAATTATGTAGTTATACCTCCTTTCCCCCCATGTATATATGTTTTCTCCTTTAAGTAATTAGTTTTGCAAAGAGACTATTTAATTTACTGTTCTTTTCCAAGACAGAGTTCTTGGAAAACGACATTTACTCCAGTCTCACAACTAGGTGGAGCCTAGTCAGAAGTGATTTATGTCATTTCTAGGCCTGGCCTATAAAATCTCCTGTCCAAAACACCCAATCTGAGGTCAGTGTTAGAATCTACAGGTTGGAGATGACAGGGCCTCTGTCAGCCTGGTTCTCAGAACTACTGCCCGGAGGCAATACACCTCCCCTTCTCAATAGGACTTTATTGAGAAAGAAACAGGCTGGATCCTATTAAGCCACTGAGAGCAGGCTCGTCACTTAACTAATGTACACACTCTCCCTTATCGGTCTCAACCTGACCTCACAATGCAGCTTCAATTTACCACTCTCAGATCTAGATCTTCAGTACATTCTTCTTCTCTCCTGATCCCTTAATCTTAATCTCAACTAAATTTTCCCAATGAGCTCAAAATGTCCTATATACCATTTCCCATGTACGCCATGTTCTTCACATCTAAGACTCTTTTATATAAAGATGGATAATTCTAGTATGCTTTTCCTCTCCATTTGTTTCCAACTAACTTCTATTTGTCCTTCAAGATTCAAATCATTCAAGATCTTCACTCTGACCTTTATCCAGTCTGGATTGCCAATCTCTCTTTTTTCTTCCAAAATATAACACGTGCATTTCTCTAACAATTTATTTTATAATGCATTATTATTCTTGTTTAACTACTTGACTCTCCAACTAGATTGTGAGCTCCTTAAGTATAGAGACTAGCTTGTTCATACAAACATGTACTTATTTTTGTATGTGTATATATAAGTAAATATGTAAGTTTTATAGTAATATTACAGTAATGTATATAGAAAATGACAGAGACAAAATGTTTTCTAAACTGGGATCCCAGAACGATAACAACAGTAGCAAGTAATAAAACTCTTCATTTGTATTTTGTGGGGCTAAACTTGAAAACAATAATACCGTCTGTCTCTCTTTAAGTTCTGTAAGAGATGTTAGAAGAACTTGTGACACTTCAGTAAAGTCAAATAGAGAAGGTTTCTTAGTAGAATGAGTCACTATAAATGACCTTTTTTGGTCTCGCAGTTTGCCATGGAAAAAGCAATATAAGATCCCAAGTTTTTCTCTGGTTTTCTACTGATAACAATAAAAAGAAATAAGTTCAGAATGAAGTCATCAAAAATTACTGCTCTTTTATGTTTATAGAGCCAGCTTATGAACTATACCTGCTCTAAACAGGCTACACCATCCAGCAAGATCACTCCATGCTGTGAACTGCCAGAACCATTCCGAGGGGAATGCATTATCAACTCAGAAAATGACAAACCTGATCTCTCATCCCTGCCACTTAGCAGGTTTACAGAAGACCAGTTTGTATGCAAACAATTCACTGACAAACAAGATGACTTCCTACAAGAGTAATACGGCTTTTTGTAAAATCTTAGTAATGGTATATTGTATTTATGGATTCTTTGGGAGAGATTGCAAACTTGAATGATGACAGAGGCGAGCCAATGATGTGAGTGAATGGTTAAATGGCTGAGGGGAGATGCCTTGTGGAGTCCAAGGTTGCAGCTACTATTTGGCTCTAGCTACTTGTAACCATATGGGAATGTAGGCTTTGGGTCGTTGGATCAACTGCATTTTGAGAGAAGTTGGAAGTCTCTTGATTTTTAAATGTTGACAACTAATATAGGAATTTTAAAAAACACAGTGAGCGTCAAGTGTGTGCAGGCTTTGCTCTGAGGGACTTAAAGTCATCCCTAAGTAAGGGTTTCAGATTGGTATGCCTGGCCAGCTCTTCTAATTAATTTAATACCTACTCTCAAAGCCATAGTGTGGCATTACAAGATTAAAGAGATGGAGTTCTAACATCTCTGGTGTCCAATCAGAAGTGCAAATTATTTGGGGCATAAAGCAAACTGATTTCAATATATTATAATATTAAGACAACATTACTGAGTGATTGAAATAGTTCCAAAGTCACTTTGTGAAGTATTATTTGGAGCAGCTAAATTCTAACAAAACATAAGAATTTGAATTTTCGTCACAGTTTTCTGTAGATTGACTTTAGCTATATTTCTGAAATTACATTTGACACTGGCTTATAAAAGTAAATGTCACTACCTGAACTCACTTATCCCTAAACTTGCATTTAGTATTGAAAAAGTCGATAGGCACAACTTCCTAGTGGAAATTACGTTAGACTATGAGTTGTGAGACCTGAGTTCCAGTCTAGCTTGGTCATGCATCAGCTTTGAAATGCAGTTCAAGCCACTTAATTTCCCCAGACTTTTGGGTTCCAACTGTAAACTGAGGCAGTTGGATAAGATCACTTCAGATGTCCCTTCTGCAATTCTATGATTCCTTTGAAAATATTCTAGAGTCCAAATTTCTCTTTCTTGTAACCCAGAAGAACGTGCAGATTATGGACAACTGATGCTTGAAGGCTTATGTGGGAAACAGGGGAAGATGGTTATTTAATACCTAGTCAGCACAGTCTTACAAAAAAATTGTAATATTTATAAAATCTAGCCTCAAAGGTCATCAAGAAAATGTTCTCACCCAAACACTTGAAATGAATTTCTAGTAAAAGTAAGGAGAGACCCTGAGCCAGGAACTAAATCTTGTCAGGATGTTTTAGGTTCAAGTTTGAATCTGCCACTCACTACTGTGTAACTTTGGAAAAATCACGTAATTTTATTGATTTGGTTTCCTTATCTCAAAATCTAGCCAATAAAACTTCCCTGCCAGCCTCCCAAGATTTTCAAATACCTAAAGTCAGTTAAAATATTGAATAAATGTCATGGTCATAGGTGGCTTTTGAAAGAAAACTATGGCTTCAGAATTTAGTGTTTACTTTCTGATATGCTTCATGTGCTTACAGGTTTCTTTATGAATATTCAAGAAGACATCCAGAGTTGGCAGTTCCAGTGATTTTAAGAGTGGATACAGTATATCAAAACTTACTGGGAAAATGCTGTAAATTAGAAAATCCTCTGGAATGCTATAGTCATGGGGTAAATTCCTTTTTTTACACCTGTTTCTCATAAGTGATTATAAACATAGGGAAAAGTCCAATGCTGTTAGTAGTGCTGTACTTTTGTAAGATGATTATGCATGTTCTTTCTAATTGCAAGCACTACACAAAAACTTTGATTTCTGTCTAAACCAAAGGCCACATCATTATACAGCAGCAACTTTCTGTGTGAGTCACTGCCTTATAGATTCTGTGTTTTATGAAAACAACTCTGTGCAATCTTCTCTAAAGTTTGCTTGGCATGGTAGCAGGTAGCATGAAAGCATAGCCTATTAGGGTGGGGGAAGGTTGACGGTTTCCACCAAGCAGGCCTGGAAACTGTCCCTATCTCAGGCCAGAAATCATACTGTTCACAGTCAGCAGCTCCTGTTGTGTAGTTGACATGGAAAAAGCCGGTTGCCTTACAACTCTCTGACCAGACAATCTGTTATCCACAGTTTACCAGGAGCCAGGTGGTTCTGGCTTTTGTTATGCTAATTAGTGGGTGGGGATGGAGGATGAAGGCATTTCTTGTCCTGTTTGAGCTCAAGCAGGTACACCTAGCATCTTCCTGTTCCCAGAGAGAAGGCTAAATGAAGGCGACTTAGTCTTTTGTAGGTTAGCACCCTTTCATAGCATCACCTGTAGACTCCACAATCATCATTATGATAATAGCCCCTTATAGGAGCATGGATGTTTAGAGTTTACAAAGTAGCTTTACAACAAGTGTCCTATTTTATTCTCACAACAGCTTGGTAAGATAGGTAATGGCATAAGTACTAGCTACATTTTGTAGATGAGAGTTTTGAGTTTCAGAAGGTTCAGGTGACTTGTCCAATGTCACACAGGCAGTAAGGACAAGGCTAAGTGTTAAATCCAGGCAAACAGTTTGCCAATCAGGTAAAATTTTTACTATAACAAATACTGTTTATTAGGATCAGGTGGACTGGGTCTGATTACTTAAGAAGATAACCAGTGCTCCTACCAAAGAGCTAAGTCTGCAAGGTCACTCGTATCTTCCCACTGGAATTTTATTTGCACTGTTCAAGAATTCTTTGAACTTTCATTTAGCTCTGAGAACTCCATGTGATTCCCTTTAACGTGTATTCGTGGAGTGCTTTACTATGTTCAAGTCTGGTACTTGTTTTTATTAAACCATGACTTCTTAATATGTATCTATATTTCTATACCTACATCCATATCTCTATATCTGTACTGTTTACATAAAAATGCTGTATTATTAAAAATAACCAGTATGCACACATACACACACACATTCTGATCAATTAAACTTAGATCTATAAATTACTTTTAAGGACCTCTTTTTGGCTTGATGAATGGTTAGCTTTATGCTTGTAAAATATGCCATTTAAGCCCATAAATGAGTTCATACCACAGGAAACTAAATATCAATCTTTGCTGTCCCACTTTTTTCTCCACAAAGTACATGACCATTCCTGTTTCAGCAAAATGTGTTTTCTCAACATTTCCAAACTCACTAAGTAAATAAAACCCTGGGTTTAGTAAAACAGTCACATTAAACTATTACAGAAGATGGTTTTGCAATCTTACCTCAAGATAGATTGTTGCAACGATAGATAAACACTGATTATCTTTATTTTTCAGGAAGAGATGTTTCAAAGAGTGGTTCGTGAAAGCCATGAGCATGTGAAAAATCAGTGTGATTTACATGAGAAATTAGGAGATAGTAACTTCCATGACAGGTATGCTTCCAAGATATTGTCCAAATTTGTGGTTGTTCGTGAGTTTTTGTTGACTCCTGCTGCTGAGAGTTGCTAAGAGTCTATATTCAACCTTAAAATCTCAGAGGCCAAGGAAAAACTCAGTTCAGAATTAACCTAGTTATCTTTGTCTTGATAAGACAGTTGTCCACATAACCTTGGGTGCTTTTACATTGCTTTTTAGGCCAGTTTCCAGATTCCAATCAATGCCCAGAGGTCAGGGAGCCGGCAGACCCTGACTGCCCTTCCGCAATCCCACAGGAGCCCTCTACCCTTCACCTGGACATTTAGTTTGGGGCTTTGCATGCAATCTGGAGTCAAGGCTGCAACAGAGATCTAATCTAGGTTTTCTTCATCAGTTTCAAGTCAGGTCAATATAGCAAATACAGTATTTTCACCATCAAGAGTAGAGATAAATAGGCACCTTAGTCAGAGGGAGCACACGTTAACTCTTTGTGTGCAGAGAGCCTGGTAAATCCCATTGTATTTCAAAGATTAAGATATCAAAAAAACAAAAAAGCCAATTTTCAGTTATCTTTAAGATCTTACTGTAATAGTCTATTAAGAAGCAGAGTATATATATATATGGCAATCCCAATCTCCCAATTCATCACACATATATACACTAATATGTATAAAATGGATAACTAATAAGAACCTGCTGTATAAAAAAATAAATAAAATAAAATTCAAAAATTCAAAAAAATATATATACAACCGAATGCAGAAAACCAGGTGGAGAGCACTACATGTTTGTGGATGTTATTTCAATAAAAATCCAAACAGTTTAGTGTGTGTGTGTGTGTGTGTGTGTGCGTGTTTTGATAAAATGATCTTAAAATTGAAACAGATATAAAATAGGTAACTAATAAGAACCTGCTGTATGGCACAGGGAACTCTACTCAAAAAAAAAAAAAAAAAGAAGCAGAGTATTGGGGAAAAGTTCAGTTTGATACAGTGTCCCATAATATTGAGCTTAAATTAAATGTCCAGAATAATGGATCCAAAAAAATTATTCTTGTTTTAGAATATTTGGCTTATTATTTTTTTTTTACTGTTGTATTTAATTGCTAACGTCTAGCTTAAGGATTAGACCGGTGACTCTCAAACTTTAGAGTGCATCAAAATTACTTGGAGGACTTGTTAAACACAGCCCACCCCTAGAGTTTCTGATTCAGTAAATCTGGGGTGGGGCATGAGAATTTGTACTTCTAACAAGTACCCAGGGGATGCTGCCAATCCAGGGGTCACACTTTAAGAAGCACTGGATTAGGTTGACTGTTTTCTTGGATGCTGTAGCTAAATTCTTCCCCTAACTCCATTATAATATAAATGCAATAAATGATTCTGACATTTCGTCCTCAAATTCAGTTCTGCAGAGTCTTTCTCATTAAAATCTCTCTCCATATCCCTCAGTTCCCACTACCACTCTCCTAGTTCAGGCCATCACTTGAATTACTGGCATGGACTTTTCTTCCCTCACTTTGCCTCTTGCCCACCTCCAATCCATTCTTTATATAGCAACCATAATTATCTTAAAAACAATGTAAATCTGATTCTATAGTTAAGCTTTCTTCCTTCTCCTCTCTCCAATTCCCAATCCCCCCTAATTAAGAAAAAAATCACAATCAGTGACTTTCTAAGTGCTCCCTTCTTACTTTCATTCCCCTTCACCTGGCTCATTTTTAGTTATTGTCAGATCTCAGCTCACATGTCATTTCCTCTAGGAAGCCTACCTGACCTCCCTGGGATGGGATTAGATGTCGTTCTATGTGCACCTATAGCATTCTCTATTCCTCTCATTACACTGAGTGTACTTCTCTATCTCCTCCACTAGAGGCGTGAGACCATGAGAGTAGGACATGTTTCCTGATCATGCAGCTTCTATTCCTACACGTTGTAGACAACCATACATGCTTTAATGGCCTGTGCATATATTTATTTCAGAAGCTGTTTACTATGAGTCTGATTTTGCAGCCATCCAAATTATCTATCACAGTATCCTTCATAAGTAGAAAGAAGATGGATGAGAGTGGAGCAATGTGTGAGGTGGAAAGGGAATTCCAGGTATACTGAATAAGCCATTGAGCCACTGGGTCAAGAACTAAAAGGATAGACTTAAACCCAATCTAATGACTTGCTCATCCCACATCAGAGACAATGTCAGATATTGAGGAAAACTTTGTAGAATTCTTCATTTTGGGCACATAGCCATTGCCAGGAATAAGAGGAAATTATTCTTTCAGGCTCATAGTCCTTTATACTAAGAAAGCCCCACAACTATCTGCTCAGGAGTTGGTTATATTCACGAAGAACATGGCGGCTGCTGCCACCACATGTTGCCCACTGAATGATGAGCAACAGTTTGTTTGCATGGAGAACTCGGTAAGTGCATCCTTGCATGTCTGTCTGTTGTTAAAAGTTCTGAACTCCAAGCCCCAGCAATCAGTCTCACGTTGGTGGACACGTCTATGAATTGTCAATGGAACCTAATAATTCTGTCCTTAAGAGAATTTATTTCTGGTCAGTTCATGCCAATTGTCTTTGATTAGCAGCAGGGATAAATAAGACTATCACTTTGCAAAAACTGGGGATGTCAGATTCACCAGACCTTTGCCTGGATCATATCCCAAGGTCTATTCCCTGGATTTTCAAGTCAACAAAAGCGATTTTGCTGATTTTAGACTAATTCATACTAATCAAAAGTGTAGGAAAAAACCACCCAGCTTCCTCTTGTGTTTCTCCTTTACTCTCACACGATTACCATACTCACAACGCTTCTGACACAAGATGTGTGGGTTTTTTTTTTCCCCAAAGCAAGCACTGGGAATCCTACAATTTAACTCAATTCTAACACTATCTGCTTGGAGATAGCATCAGATCCTACGGGTTGAGGGCTCAGTTCCACAGGACTGCTCCCACCTGACTTCAGATGCCAATCACAAGTCCAAGTTGTCACCTGTGCTTCTGACTGATTAGCTATAAATCGGAGGTTTCCACAACTCCCTCCTTGGGTTCAATTAATTTTATAGAGCACTTCACAGAACCCAGGAAAACACAGTTACCAGTTTATTGAAGGATATGAAAAAGATGCGGAAGAACAGCCAGATAAGAGATACATAGGGTGAGACCTGGGAGGGTTCCAAGTGCAGAAGCTTCCTGTGGAGCTGGGGTGTCTCACCCTCTCAGTGCTTGGATGTGTTCACTCACCTGAAAGCCCACTGAACCCCCATACTATTGGGATTTTATGGAGGCTTCCTCACATAGACATGACCAATTATTAACTGTATTTCCAGCCTCTTTCCCCTCTCTGGAGCATGGGGGTGGGGCTAAAAATTCCAAGCTTCTAATCATGTCTTGGTCTTTCTGGAGACCAGCCCCCATCCAGGAGCCATCCAGGAGCTCACTCAGAGTCATCTCATTAGAACAAAAGCTGCTCCTAATGCCCTTATCATTTAGCAATTTATAAGCATACCAGAAGCTTTGTGTCAGGAACCAGGGTCAAAGACCAAATATTTATATTTTCTGTTAACTTACATCAAACTTACAAGTGTTACCTTCATTAGACAGAATATCAGGTTTCATTTACAGTGAGAAATGTCTTCCCAATGTCAAGAATAATTGGGTCTAATAACTAGGCTACACTTTTCCCTGAATCACATTACTTGGGAAGTTGAATTAGGATATGGGTATTCATGCAAATGGAATCAGAGGAAGGGCAGGGATGGTCTTGAGAGATATTTCTTCCAGGGATATGAATTATTCCCTCCTAGCAATGGAGAACATCACTCTAGGACCTGGATGCTCATCTCCAGGTCTCTCTCAAGTGGTATATTTTAACGCTACTGAATTCTTGTTTGGTGGCAGCTTTCTTTGTCCTATATTCTTGGTAGAGCATCTCCTCTATACTAAGTTAGTCTTTTTTTTCTGATAAAATATAGTTGTTTTGGTTACAGATTTAAAATGTTTTATTATCCAGCTCTGTCTTCCTTTTATTTTATTATAAATTTTTATTATCTAATCATGCCTTCCTTGGGGAACTCTTGATTTATATTCCTAAAACCTTGTTTTTAAGTGATCTCTTTGGTTACTTCAATAAATTCATAAATTAAATATTGATGCTCACTGGTTTCAGTCACTTCATCCCCACATACATAAGTGACAGGGAATTTGTGTGGTCATTATACTCAGAGTGGAATACAGGCAGCCTTGCAGACAGCGTCAGGATAAGTATCAGACACACCCTGGGAGCAAGGCAAGGTGACTGTTCTAGAAGGAGACAAGAAAATGGAAGGAGACAACTGAAATAAGATCCAGGGATTCCTTTCACCATTCATTTATTCACTTTTTCATTAATTCGACAAGTGTTTATAGGTGATTTATCATATACCAAGTTCTGTGGTAGTTACAGATGTCCAGCTATAAAACACAGAAACACATTGGATTTGAGCTTTTTTAGAAGTGCATTCATCAGTCTTGCATCTGCATCAAATTAGCAGTCATGTTGACCTGAGACTTGATTTGAATTTGATGGAGCATAAGAAACTCCTGCCTCAAGTCAACACTGGTCTATAAACTGCACACTGAGGAGGAATTGGGAGGTCGGGTCCAAGGGAACTGACCTTTGAGGATGACAGGAAGAGGGAGGACAAGGCTGAGAACCAGGTTTCACCTGACACTCTTGCTCTTTCCCAGACAGTGAAATCCAGGCCAAATTAGCAGGAAACTAGAATTTGAGAATATTTTTCTATGGATAAAAAAAAAATATTAATGACCACAAACCTTATGGCTCTTATTTTAATTCTTTTCTGGAGAAGGCAAAGCTAATTCTTGGAGCTTTATGCAGAAGACACGAGGCAGAGCCTATCAATGCTGGTGTGGGTCACTGCTGTGATGACTCGTATGCCTTCAGGAAGCCTTGCTTTGATGATCTGCAAGTAGATGAAACTTACATTTCTCCACATTTATCCTGTGACCAAGTCGTCAACCTTAATGAGGACTTGTGCAGAGCTCAGGAGGAGGAATTACAAACTGAAAAGCAAAAGTAAGGATCTTTGTTTATATGTATATATACATGCTGGTTACCCTGAATCAACACAATGCATCAAAAGCCCTCCACCTCCTGGCAGTGGGGCAGTTCCCCTTTAGTGCCCGCCCACTCCTCCCACCCTCCTCACGTGCCCCTGATCCTGTCCTCACGAGAAAGCGGGTCCTGGTCCTCATAGTTCCTTCTCCCCCACGATCATTAGAAATGGTTGGTAGCTTACTTCTAATTAATTTATTTACTCTAAGACTTGCTCTTGGAGAGTCTAAATATTATTAGTCCAACAATATCATCTTGCCAAATGAGGCAAAGTTTTTGTTGCCTTGGGGATAAACACATTCCCGTGGTCAGCAAGCGCAAGGTTGTCACTTATTCTGTTTTATCACAGTACTTAAAATTCATAAGCCAACTGACCCTTGAGGTCCTTTCTTCAGTTCCCAAGGTGAGCTGATCACAAACTAGACTGTAAAGCTTTCCAGTAAGCATCCAAAAACCACTGTAACACTTAGTTAGCCATTATTTCTTTAGCCCAGGCTGATGTGAGAAGATAATACTTTATTTTTAGAGTTCGGGCTTTGCTTTCTCTTGAGGAAATTCTCTGGCATAGATAGGCACCCTTTATGTATGTCATCTCACCAAATCCTTACCACAGATTTAGGAGGTAGATAATATTATTACCCCATCTTAATTGTGAGGAAACTGAGGCTAAGAAGGCAAGAAGAAATGGTATGAGATCATGCAACAGGTAAATAAGTTGTTGAACTGGAATTTGTACCCAGGCTACCTGGCTCAAAGCACATATACTTAACCACCAACATGTGGCTGTTAGTGTGCCCTAATCAAGGGGTTATAATGCTGGTGATAATTTTTAATACTTGAAAATCTTCATGTAAGGGCTAGATGATGAACAGTGTGAAATATTAGGAAGCATCCGTGTTCTAGTGAATTCACTGTGTTTTCTGTATGGAGAAAGCAATAACACAGAGACAGCTAATGTAGAGATTTCTAGAATATTCTGGGAGGATACATATTGGGAGTCAAGGGCTGGGCTGGACAAAGCTCTCCAATTTCCTGGGAAGTGGTAGGGGTTTTCTCCATGGCTTTCACCCCAATATAGTTCTGACTGATCATCATAGCATAAGTCCACATACACACAAAAAAGAAAAAAAAAAAAAAAAAACGAAGGGGCTCCTGGAGGAGAAAGACAAAATTCAGCAGGATTATAAAGAGAAGGCAGAAACGAGGTCATGGAATAAGACAGAGGAAATACAGAGAATAGAAGTTCAAAGGAAAAGAATTTAAAATCCAATTAAGAAAAATACAGAGTAGAAATGTTAAGACTTAAGACAGTATATGAAGACTAGAATGTGCTTTAAATGAAAGGGTGAATAAATGTAATGAAAATAAAAGATTAATATAATTGAAATGAAAAGCTGGAAACAACTTGATGGTGTTGAGGATTAAAAGTAGGATCTAATATTTTAAAAGGTAAATTAAAAAATTTAAAACTAAAGGAATGAATAGAATTAAGGGAAATGTTTTAAAACAGCAGTTAGGTTGATAGGTAGAGAGATCTGGGGGGTGGGCTGGGTGGGTGCGAGGAAGTGGACAGGAGAGATAAACCCACTGCAAGCAGATCACAGGTATGTGGCAAGTCATTGTAAGGGAGGGGGGCCTAGCTTCCAAATGGCACAGAGTCCCCAGTTGTAGAAAAGGCAGCCTTCATATCTGGAGTGTCAAGGGAAGGTACCACGACATGCTGATACCTCTGCTCCAAATCTCATTCCCAGACCTGCATTCTCATAATGGGACCCTTTTTTACCCTTACCTATCCCAGTACAGTGAAAGTGTTTCTCCTTGTTTGTTTATTTATTGGAGTATAATTGTTTTACAGGGTTGTGTTAGTTTCTGTTGTACAATGAAGTGAATCAGCTGTATGTATACCTATATCCCCTCCCACTTGGACCTCACTCCCCCCCCCCCCCCCCCCCATCCCACCCATCTAGGTCGTCACAGAGCACAGAGCTGAGCTCCCTGTGCTTTAAGGTAAGCAGCTGCCACCTGACCTGGAAGCTCAGCGGTCATACAAGTGTTCCCTCTACTGGTGCCTCTGGAGACGTGCATCCAGAAACCAGCTGACCCAGCAGGACAGAGGAGAGAGCAGAATAGTTGGGTGTGTCTGAGGCATAGGTGAGAGAGGGGAGAGGAACCTTTGGGGCTGAGACTAGAGGGGTTGGGAGGGTTCAAACCATGAAGACAATTGGAATCCCAGAGCTTGTGAGGAAGGAGAAGAAGGGTACATATGAAGGAGCCTTCCTACATCCTCTGCTAGGTTTCTCTATTATTGTTAAATCTACAGCTCAGACCCTCAGGGAAATTATAAAACTGCTCATCAATTATTTGCTGAGTGACTAAATGAATAAGTAGGTGAGAAGCTGTGACAATGTACCATTTATTGTGGGAGTCAGGGAGAAGGGAGACTGTGGTTGGAAGCAACCAATAATTTGAAACGAAAGTTGCAAGTTGTGCTATTACTATAATTATTCATTATCATTGCCATAATTTGATGAAATAATTATTCATATTATCTTTGCCACTATTTATTAAGTGCCTTTAGTATGCCAGTTACTGTACTCAGCCCTTTAATATAGTATTATTTTTGGTCCTCACAAAAACCTTGCAATGTAGGTGTTCAAATTCTCATTTTATAGAGTAGGGTCAGAGAGGTTAAGTATCTTACCCATCGTCACACAGACTAGTGAGTGGAGGACCTAACTTGAGCCAAAGTAAGTTTGACTGCAAAGTTTGTGCACTTTTTATGACATTGGAAGGAAAAAGAAGTCCAGATTTTGCATGAACTCACAGTAAAACCAGTGCCCCTCCTATACCAGCTTTGGCCACTTGGGGTGCTGAATCCCCTAGGCCAGACCATAGAAGCCCCAGTGGGTGCTGGGAAATGTGGTAATCTCACTGTGTAGGTACTCATGATGCTTAGTTTCTGTAACATGGGACTGAAGCTGTCCTATGCTTTTATGGGTTGGGTAGTGAATTTCAGCATCATGAACAACATTGTTATCTGGGGGGGAATATTTTCTGAGACAAAACCCACCAAAATTCCAATGGGAAATAGCCTGTATTTCTCACTTTGAATAATTAATTTGTTAAAAACTGATAATTATTATTCAAAGATAGTATCAACTGTTTTGACCATACATCATACATAACCATACAGACTTGAACGATACAGAGACACAAACAAGCACAGTGTTTTCCTTCAAGTGGGATCAAGTTTAGGTCTAATTGGAAAATTGAATATGTACATATCTCAACTATAATAAAACATAATTTAAAAAAAGATCAAATATGTACAGAATGGTTGGATAGAAAAAAGAATGCTTATACTATTCTATTTCTTTGTAAAATGTTGATTTACTTTATTATTAAAGTAATACATAGTCTTTGCAGAAAATTTAGAAAATACAGAAAAGAGAAGAAAAACATAATACTTTTATTCCAACACTGCAGAGATACCCATTATAAATATATGTATAGTGTAGGAATACATAATTCCATATCTGTACACAAGTGCACACTCCCACAATTGCCCTCTGTCCATCAGTCTATGGTTTGAATACATAATAATGCAAGTTTTGCACATTCTTACTACTACCTGCTTATACAGAATTTCAGTTTCAGCAATTATCCTCAGAATCCTCAGGGCAGAGCTTATTAAACTCCCCTTGCCTCTCCCACTCCGCAGGAATTCTCCAGGCATTCCTGCATCCTTGGCACCACTCCTGTGCCACTGGGAACAGTCATGCCCTCCAGGTACTGCTGTCTCCTGCTCAGCAGCAGACTGGATCCCTTTCAATTGATGACAAAGTTGCTTTATGTTTTGTTGTAAGGAAAAAATAATACCTCCCCCAAACCTCAGGATTGTACACGTTTAACAGGTGCTGTGGCAGTGCTGCCTGTGTCTTAACGGTGTGCAGGACTTTAATGAAAGCACTCTTACAGCCCCCTTTCAAAGAGTTATCCTGATTCCATATAACTCAGAAATGAGTGTAATGGAGGCCCAGCTGGGGAACCACTGAATTACTCCCGTCTTCCACTGACCAGACCTTTCTTAATGGGCGGAAGTCTGTGAGCCTGACTTCTTGTCTCAGGACGAGTTCTCGAAAGTAGTTCTCAATCCTCATGCCTTCTGGAAGGGAGGCTCACCTCACTGGCTTGTTATATATATATGCCCAGATCTATATTATTCCCAAGGAGTTGAAACTAGTGTTACAAATGCAAAGTGGAGATGGCATAGAGCCTTATTAAGGAGGTGACAGAGAGCATTACACGAGGTAACATTTATAAATTTTCGGCGCATTGTCTGAAACAGAACAAATATCAAGATACTCAAAAGATGTTGGCTGTTGTCATCATTTTTAATGTAGCTTTAAAAATGATAATGTGTGCAGTTTTGTCACTGATTATTCTTCAAAACAGCATTTTAATGGCTTTTTAATATTCCAGTATATGGGTACAATAATGAACTTAACCAGTCCCTGTTTCTGGGCATGAAAATTGTTTTCAGTTTCTAAGTATCATAAATTGTGACAATGAATATTTTTGTACATATGTCTTTGTCCCCTCTCTGATTTTTTTCTAAATTCCCAGGTCTTAGGATTAGGGGCAAACATGGAGTTAATTAAAATCTCCTAGCTTCTATTGACTGTGTCTTACTGGTGCTCAGAGGATGCAGTGATTACATGCTTCTCAAACCCACCTCATCACTGTAGCAGTTCCCGAAAAGAAAATTGGCTTGTGCTTCCTTATCTTCAGTCATGCTGCTGTTTCAGCTCTGTCTATCCTCAAGGCTGGGGGCTGGGGGGAGGGTAGGAGAGGGTTGAGCTGAAATGGGAAGTTCAGAGGCATGTCCAGGGCGCTACCAAGTGAAGCTAAATATCTGATTGCTTAGATGGGGTCAGCACGCTACGGCCATCTGGCCAGGACTGTTTCTGTAGGTCCTGCGGGCACCGCCCGAGCAAGCTAAGCCTGGGAGCTGCAGAGTGCCGCGTCTGCTTCGCCTCTGTCCCCGGCTTCGCTCCTGCCTTCCCCGCCTGGGACCGAGCTCGCTCTGCCCAGTGCCTGCGCTGGTGCCACGTGCATGGTGGGGACTTCACTGTTGACGACTGCCGGACAGCAGAGGGGTGGGTGGCATCTCAGTCCAGGAGTCAAGCGACTCAGAGAGTCACCTTGCCTTGGGCCGGCTGCCCGCGCTGAGAGCGGGGTGCAGGGAGAAGAAAAGGGCGTGTCACTGGGGCACAGAGTGAGACAAGCGGCGCGCGCCCCCTTCTCCACCGCTGGTCCTCTTCACCATCATTTCCAGCTGATGGCAACTGGCACAAACTGTGCCCGCCAGCCACTTGGGGCAGCCCACCCCAGGGGTGGGGCGGGCCTGGAGTTCTCTGTCTTGTGATATAAGTACTTATATAATATCCTCAGTTTTGCCTCTTGGCTGAAAAAGGCTAAAATATTTGCCGGACCCTTGGGTTAGAGTGTCATAGGAATAGCTACTTAAAGCTTTGAGATATTTTCTTTTATACCTATTCAAGTACAAATAAGGCCACTAGGTATTATCAATGTGAATTTGAAAATGGAGAGTAAATGAAGGTTTTTGAGTAAGCAATAAAATATGGATTAATGTACATTTCCCCTACCCTTCATGCTTGTTTTCTTTGTAGTTAAATCTCTCTTGACCAATAAAGAAAAAAAAAGGGACAACATTGGAAGATTTGGAATACTACTTTATTTTTTTATTTTTATTTTTTTGCGGTACGCGGGCCTCTCACTGTTGTGGCCTCTCCCGTTGCGGAGCACAGGCTCCGGACGCGCAGGCTCAGCAGCCATGGCTCACAGGCCCAGCCGCTCCGCGGCATGTGGGACCTTCCCGGACTGGGGCACGAACCCGTGTCCCCTGCATCGGCAGGCGGACTCTCAACCACTGCACCACCAGGGAAGCCCGATACTACTTTATTAAACAGAGAGACAGAAGCCAGGTCATAATTTTAAATATTCTAAGTGGTTGAAACACCGATGTTTATATAGTTGTGGGGAAACTCATTCTGTGAGGGAAATCTGAGATGATTGTCAAACTACTGAAGTTTCAAATTAGTGTATTGGTTTTATTATTAGTAACATATAAGGGGGCCTCAACTTTCAGGTGTGTTATACTTGTAATATTTATTGGGAAGTTAGTTGTTTAGAATAAATGTTGTTCACAACAAAATATTATAGGAAAGCTAATTTATTGTATAACCTATTTACCACCCAATGTAATAAAAATAGAAAATAATATTTACCCTAGTAATAATTACATAAAGGTAATTAAATTTAATATAATAGTTATATCGATGAGATGTGCTTGAAGAAAAATATGTTGAATAAATGATGGAGATGGATACTGTGAAAACTATGAAGACATCAGGGCATTTTCAGGGCCTGTAAACTTAAGAGTGAGAGCTATGCAAAGGCATGGGTGGTGTGCAGCTTTAAATAAGTAAGGCAGGTTTGCAAGCTGGCCTTCTAGAACTCAGGGAGTGATTTTATTTTTGCCACTCATTTCTTATTCAGGCTTCTCAGCAACCTTGTGAAGCAGGAACCATATGCAGCAGAGATGCAGTTCCAATCAGTTATTGTGGATTTTGCTCACCTGGTGGAGATGTGCTGTCAAGCAGAGAAAAGTGAAATGTGTCTCCAAGAAGAGGTATCTCTGTTTCCTTGTCTATTCTCTTAGCACTCTTAGGGTACAGTTTAAAAAAAAAAATCCTTTCTCCATGCCAATCATGAATGGATTAGGAGAAAATCACAATTTAAGTGGATCGGTGTAATTGACTATATTTGGGTTTAAGATATGTTAATATTTGTGTTCATTTGAGGGAACTAGGCATGTTAGACATGAATAAAGATAAATACAAAGTCATGACACCAGATGAACTGAGATGTTTAGGACTGAGGGTGGGAGGAAGAAGGATGAGTTGAAGACTTTCTCATTATAGAGAAACGGTGTCCTTGGAAATATAGAGCAAACTGTAGCTTCATTCTAGAAATTTCTGGGGGCATAATCAGGAAGAGTCACCAAATGTAGTTTGGGGCTTAACTAGGAAACCGGTTTAGGTGGAAAGGATTGCATTTTCTCAGTGGCAGATCATTAGAACAGGGGGTTGAAGAATAGAGAGAGAAAAGAACAGTGACCAGAAAAAAGTGTCTCTGTGCATACACACCAAACTGAGTACCAGGAGACTGTTTTGTGTAACTAATCTAATTGCATACAGTTAACAAGCAAATGACTTTTCATAAGATGGTAACACTGTATGACTTAAATTTCTAAGAATATCATGGTAATCCTACCATCCCTGTGTGGCATAGAAAATTCATGTGAATTCATGGAGGGGACCTGGGATGGACCGTTCTCCTGGGGACATGACTTGAGAAACAGAAACTAGGATATAGTAGGTAATAGTATCCGAGTAGAAGAATGCAAACGTGTGATTCAAAAAATAAAATATAATATAGCAGGCTTTACAGTCAAAACAGGCTGTGGCTAATTAGTCCTAGTTAGGACTAGGTTTAGCAGTGGCCCAGGGAAACGTTTTCACAGGTAACAATTTTCACGAATGCCTCAATTACCTTCAGTGGCTCTTTTCTACTTTTTCACCTAAACTGTACATGTGCTTATGTTAAAAGTCATATATCTATGGTGTAGTCAAAGGTAGGCCAACTACAGCCCTCTGGCTAACTCAGCTCCACTCCCTGTTTATGTAAACAAGGTTGCGTTGGCACACAGCCTTGCCCATTTATTTACGTGTTGTCTATGGCCACTTTCTACAACAGCAGAATTGAGTAGTTGTAAGACTGGGTAGTTGTGACAAGACTGAATGAACTGCAAAGCTCCAAATATTATCTGGCTGTTCACAAAAAAATGTTGCTGACTCCCAGACCAGCTGATACACAAAATGAAAATAGTCACAAGTGCCCATTTATTTACTTTAAAGCCCTTTCACTTTTTTGTAAAACATTCAGAAAACAGATCTCTACCTGAGTAACAACCCCATATCCACACAGATAAACACTTTTGCAGAAGGGCCTGTGCCTAAAAATTCCCAAAGGAATTTTCTTGAAGTGTTCTTGCTCTTGAGCGTGAATGCTTCTTGCTTGAACTATTTCATCAACAGCATGATAGGAAGATTTCTGTGTGCTTTTTTTCCCCACACTTTTTGTCTGACAGTGCTCTTCAACTTAATCGTTGAAAAGCCCAAACTTTTCCCCTTCCCTCCCCTTCCCTCTCTACTTTCTTTTAGGATTTCTCCACAAATTAAAGGAGAAAATAGGGGCTATCTGAAGAATATATCATGTTAATTAAAATTTGCTAGATGAACTTCTTCAGATAGAAATGATTATTATATGTAATTCTGCACCATCTATAAAGTTTGACCAAGTATATCTCCGTATGATTATTTTAAGGAGGTGATTCTGAAATATTCGTGTGCATCAGAGTTACTTGGAGGGCTTGTTAAAACAAAATCAATATTTTCCATCCCCAGCATTCCTGATTTAATAGCGCTAGGGTGGGGTCTGATTATTTGCATTTCTAACAAGTTCCCAGGTGCTACTGATGCTGCCGGTTTGGTGACCACTTTAAGAACCACTTTCCTAAGGTGAAAGTAGATAATCATAAACTGTTTCCTCCCTCCCTTCCCAATATTTTTATATATCTAACTCAGTGAGAAGTTGGAACCAAGGACAGTAACAAAAATAATAAAACAATTGAAAAATAACCTATTTATGAAAGGAAGTGAAAGATTTTGGGGACATTAAATACAAAGGTAAGACTGGAATATAAAAGCAATAACCTTATATGAATAGGCTTAGCAAAAAATACAGGAATATATGATCGAAATATTTTGGAATCTTATCATCAAGAATTTCGGTGAGTCTTTGTGCCTCTATGTTTGTGGAAGAGATCTAGGTTTGACTGTAATGCAAAGGAATAATACCTAGTGGCTTTGGGAGTCTCCATGGAACCAAAATCCCAGAAGTGAAGAGGCTTAGCCAATTAAGCAGTCTGTAGATGTTCCAAGTTAGACTAACTGCTCCAGGGACCTACATGCATTTTCTTTGTTTTCTTTTCTGAGATTAGAATAGTCAATTATGTGAATCTGTTCTGCCTGTTAAAAGAGAAAGTGGGCAGGTTTGAAGACTGCCTTTCTAGCTGTGGCTAGTGGGAGGGTAAAACATTTTTAGACAAGATGGAAGACATATTTTGAGAAGTAAACCAGAATGCAGGAAAATTCTAAGGAGAAAAAAGGGAACCAAGATTAATGTTGGAATGTTGGTAGAATAAGAATGAAACAAAAAGAAGGAATAAAATAAGAAACTCAGCCATACAAGGTGAATTTGGATCGTCCAAAGAAAAGGAATTTCATATTTCATGAAATAATGATGTGAATTGTAGACTTCAGCAGTTTTAAGGAGAAAACTACTCAGAAATTCTCTCCTCCAGGTCAGTGGGGAATGATAATTGTAGCCTGAGATACTTATCTGTCACCCAACAGAATATAACATAGAAGAAAGTTAATGAGAAATAGCAGGAATTTGGGCAGGTTGCAATGATGGTTTGAAAATAATACATGAAATTTAACAATAAAAAAAGCAAAGTTCTGCTTTTAGTTGTAACTCAACACAAGTTCATGCGGAAAGACTTGCTGGTTTAAGTGGCCTATGCTTACAACTTGATGGGTCTACTATCAAAGCTACTGCAATCCTGGGATGCATTTCTGGAGAAAAAACAAGGATCAGATTAAGCAATGTGATATCGTAACCACATGGATCAGGTCACTCTGGGATACTGTATTTAGTTTCTTATGATACATTACACAAGTTTTGAAAATTACATAAGTAATACACGAACATGGCAAGAGTTCAGACAGAAGAGCAGGGTACATTTCCCATTCCCAAAAGGTAAGCAATTTAAGTTTTCACTTTTAGTATTCCTAGTGATTACCATTATTACTTTAATAGTTTTTTAAAATACTGCTGTCACTTAAAGAATATAGTATACTTACACTAACTTCGACAATACTACCAGTAGACTCTCAATTTTTTATTTTAGGTAAAGTATTTTTGTAGTTTTAGCTCTTTTATCGGTTATACTCTATTTCTTGGTCCTTTGACTTCAATCAGCATCTAGTGATTTTCCGAAACATAATTAACATGTCTAAACTTCTTTTGATTTCTTTGCCAGCTTTCCTTTTTAAAGCTATACCATTACTTCCACACTGTCTAGGTTTATTCATCCTGCTTTGTAAATGTAAGGTTTATATGCTTTGTCAATAGGTTGATCCAAAAACTGGAAGCTATTAAATAGTGTTCAATAGTGTGTTTAACTGTAATATTATTTACAGCCGTACAATGAATGGATTCACCAATAGTTCAATGACTTATCCTGGATCACTTAAAAAGTGTCAAGATTAAATGAAGTCTTTTTTCTTACTGTCAACTGCAGAAAATAAGCCACATTTATTTAGCTTTACATATCTGGACTATGATTTCCTAGTACATCCTTCTTTTTTGAGAGTTTCTAATTACCATTCTTTTTCCATGTTGACAAATAAAGCATCTACTTTCATCACACCACTAAAATATGTCACACTGCTAAATTATATCAGGTTCTTAATCATACAGTTTTTGTAATAGAATATTCTGTCATCTTAAAGTTTGATAAGATTTGAAACTTAAAGTTTGATAACATTTGAAAAGTCCTCTGACTTAATCTTTCAGTTTGGATTTAGTTATTTCTGGGACTGATTTATGGCTGTCCACTAAGAGTTTCTTTTTAAGTGTAACTCTGGGTAAAATTGACTATTTCTAACATCCCATTTTGTGTTTTTTTCTTGGATTCTTTTAAGTTTTTTTGGGCTACATTCTTAAGTTAGGTATGTATGTATGTATTTTTTCAGAATGGGCACCCGGGTGATAAACTTTAGGGACCCTTGCATATTTAAATATTATTTCACCCATATATTTACACAGTTATATTTTAAGCTGGTATGTTAGTTGGGGTTCTTTAGTTGTAAATAATAGGATCAAATTCTGGCTAACCTAAGTAAAAATTAGTATATTGAAAGGATAGTAGTGACTTCAGGAATCTTTAGGAAGTTTAAAAAAATGGGCTGAGCAGGAGATAAGAACCAAAGCAGCTCAGAAATCAATGACTTTCTGGTCTTTTACTGCTGGTACTTCTTTAATGTTACTATTCTGAGCTTCTATCTCTGCATTTTTATATGTTGATTAATATCACACCAATGACTATTTTTCAGAAGTTCATTATAGCTCTTACATTGATGGTGTTTTTTTTGTTTCTTTTTAGCATCAGTAGGCTTTATTCTTTCCGGTATATTGTTACTCTTATTGAATTGGGATTTCAAAAGAGATGAGAGGTGACCCATTTTAAAAGGATCTTGGCAAGCTGTTATGTCCAGCAGTATCTAGAATGTAAAAAGGTTTGAAAAGCATGTCACAGGATTTGGAGAAATAGACTAGTGATGATTATTCCAAAGTCTTCAGATGGATGACAGGTTAGCAGTCTCCCATACAGACAACGTACAGGCTGGAAGAAAATATTTGCAAACAATGCTACTGACAAGGGATTAATTTCCAAAACATACAAACAGCTCATACAGCTTAATACCAAGAAACCAAACAATCCAATCAAAAAATGGGCAGAAGACCTAAATAGACATTTCTCCAAAGAGGACATACAGATGGCCAACAGGCACATGAAAAGATGCTCAATATCACTAATCATTAGAGAAATGCAAATCAAAACTACAATGAGGTATCACCTCATACCAGTCAGAATGGCCGTCATTAAAAGGTCTACAAATAATAAATGCTGGAGAGGGTATGGAGAAAAGGGAACCCTCCTACACTGTTGGTGGGAATGTAAATTGGTGCAGCCACCATGGAGAACTGTATGGAGGTTCCTTAAAAAACTAAAAATAGAGCTACTAATATGATCCAGCAATCCTGCTTCTGAGCATATATCCAGAAAAGACGAAAACTCTAATTCAAAAAGATACATGCACTCCAATGTTCATAGCAGCACTATTTACAATAGTCAAGACATGGAAGCAACCTAAATGTCCATCGGCAGATGAATGGATAAAGATGATGTGATATACATACACAATGGAATATTACTCAGCCATAAAAAAGAGTGAAGTAATGCCATTTGCAGCAACATGGATGGACCTAGAGATAATCATACTAAGTGAAGTAAGTCAGACAGAAAGACAAATACCATATGATACAACTTCTATGTGGAATCTAAAAAATGATATAAATGAACTTATTTCCAAAACAGAAATAGACTCACAGACATAGAAAACAAACTTAATGGTTACCAGAGGGGATGGCAGTGGGTGGGGGGGCGATAAATTAGGAGTTTGAGATTAACATATACACACTACTGTGTATGAAATAAACAACGAGGATCTACCATATAGCACAGGGAACTAATTCAATGCCTTGTAATAACCTATAATGGAAAAGAATCTGAAAAAGAATAGATGTATATACTCGAATCACTTTGCTGTACACCTGAATCTAATACAACATTGTAAATTAACTATTCAATTTTAAAACATGAATTAAAAAAAGGAAATAAATTAACATTCAAACAAAACAAAACAAAAATAGTCATGGGTCACCGTGGCAGTAAGGATACATAAATTCCAGAGGTATTTTTATAAACAAGCCTAAATAGATTTTAATCTTTCTAGACAATTTAGGTGTGGTACTGTTTGAAGGTGGGAAGAAGAACTGAATTACTAGACTTCTAACCATTTTCTACAGGGTCCTAGAGACTCTTCGGAGTGTGAGTCATCTATCCCTCAGATGTGTGTGTGTTCATACCTTAGCAGTGGAGTTCTAGGGGTCCCATTTCCACTAAGCTAAAGATTTCACTTTTATCTACTTGGGCTTCCACAAATGATTTTTATTTGAATAAGGACTATACAGGTACAAATTGGGGAAAACTTTTGGACTTAATATCAAGGTCTACACCAGTACATATGAAGGGAGTAGAGATAATCTGATCAATTTTAGTGGTTTTGTTCCTCTTGAATTTCTTTTTTTTTTTTTTTTTTTTTTTTTATTTATTTATTTTTGGCTGTGTTGGGTCTTCGTTTCTGTGCGAGGGCTTTCTCTAGTTGCGGCGAGCGGGGGCCACTCTTCATCGCGGTGCGCGGGCCTCTCACTGTCGCAGCCTTCTCTTGTTGCAGAGCACGGGCTCCAGTCGCGCAGGCTCAGTAGCTGTGGCGCACGGGCTTAGTTGCTCCGCGGCATGTGGGATCTTCCCAGACCAGGGCTCGAACCCGTGTCCCCTGCATTGGCAGGCAGATTCTCAACCACTGCGCCACCAGGGAAGCCCCCTCTTGAATTTCTATACCTGGATATGCAGTGATTTAGCATGGGATTACCCTAGAGCTGTTTTAAAATGCAGCGAGAAGCTGACGTTGATTGTTCATTCTTACCCTGCAAAAGAGTGCCATATTTTTGTGAGGAGGAAGCAAATTTTTATTTATTCTAAATCTGGGGTCCTGAAAGTGGATGGGGCATTGCAGTTAATTAGGTCCTTAAGCTAAGGGACTAGGCCTGTGAGAAATTCTGAGACCTTGAGAGGCAGGCTTATTAGAACCCATCTCAGGCATGCAAAAGGGAAGTCTTAAAGATTTTCTGTCTGGGGATCAGAGTTGCTTAGCTGTTTTCTCTTTCTCACAGATGTGCTTATTTGCTTTTTTTTAGGGGTCCAAACTGATCAAAAAGTGCCAGTCTCTTTTGGGAGGCTAAATGATTCCAGCATATGTCAATGTACAATCTTTGCTGAGAACTGCTTTTTGTTTTTCATGAATAATGAAATGCATGTCTAATATTCAAAAGAAGAATCAGCATCATTTTTCAGCTACTAGCAATGTTACTCAGGAACATTAACTAGTCTACACTACATCTCTCCTTTCCTACTCAGCAGAGAAATCTACTTATTGTAACTCTCCTACAACCCACTTCCATCCCTTCTCTCTCCCCATAAGCTTTCTATTTCTCAGAAGCAGCAACAGAAATATGAAACCAAGGGGCCTTTCAAAACCTCAGGTGGATGTAATGAGCTTCCACATTGAACTGGGACCTGGCTGCTGGGTTTCTGGAGTGAAAAAGACCCCAAGTGCCATTTGCGGTTTCTATCTGTACCACTACTGAAAATGATTATTGATGAACTGAATGAAATGTGTTTTACAATAAAGGTACTTACATGACTGTATTCCCTTTCATCTTTACCCGAGATATGTGATGTTGACATTGTCACCAAGGGGTCCTAACATATTTATATTCACTTGAGCTTTCAGTGATGATTTGTAATAGTAGTCTTTTCCCTGGAAATCCCGGCATAAAAGACATAAAGAACTTATCATTTCGACTTAGTTTTGCGTGTGTAATGAAGTAAAAATAAGCAGTGATATTTTAGTGCTTACTAAATAAGTGATTTTGGTTAGAGAAAATGTTTAATTCTCATTATAGTGCTCTTGATTTCAGTTTTTCCTTACCCCAGTAATTTCAGCATGTTCATATATACTAGCAAATTAAATCCAATAAACATTTAAGTATCTATTGTATGCAATACACTGTGCTAGGTGTTGCAGGGAATAATATGAATATGATATGGCCAGATCACTAATGAATTTAAACAAGATATAAACACATAAGGAATTATAATAATGGGCAGATTTCATGTTTCCAGTGTCACAAGAGCAGAGCTAACTAATGTGGAACCCAGGAGTTTGAGATCACACAGAGCCACAGAGACCAGGAAAGTTCATGGAAGGAGTGACCCTGGCCAACGACTAGAAAACAGGCATGTTTTAACAGATAGATGTGGAGAGTGTGAGCGCGAATGGTGAGTGATTCAGATGGGTGGGTTTTGAGACAAGAATAAAGTAGTTGTGGGCAGTAAGACTTAGTGAAAGCCTAGGCTACAGTGTTGGGTGAGGACATATTATAATTTAGCTATAACAATAGCTAATATTTATCACACACTTCTTATGTGCAACGTGTCAGCCTTTAAATATATTATTCCTATAACTCCTACAACCGTATAATGAAGTAGGTACTATTATTTCTATATCACAAATGAAGACAGAGAGATGCCACTTGAGGGTGTGTAATTAGGGTGAGGCCATATATTCCAGTGGTTAAGAGTGTGGGTCCTGGAGCCATAAGTTCAAATCCTACCTCAGTCTTCTACTAAAGAGCTTAGCAAATCTCCCAACCTCTCCATGGCTTACTTTCTTCATCTTTAAAATCAGGTTGAAAGATTAATTTCCTCACAGGAGTGTAATGGATGTTAAATGAGTTGATCTATGTAAGGCAAATGCTAAGTGTGGTTAGTTTCAACAATATAAAATTGCTGCTTTTGTAGGCCAAATATGGACAATTTCAAATGTCTCAGTCTAATAGTTCAGCTGTTATTTAGAAGAAAATTGGATGCTGTTGAGGGTTTTGCCCTCTTGGATTGCATCCTATTCCTTTCCTTTCACATGTAGATATCTCAATATAATAAATACATCTGCCGTCTTTTCCACCTCATCCACTGCCTTGCAAATGGATTTCTTCAGTTCTTGAAGCCAAGCTGAACAACCCTAAACAAAATTCCATAGTAACACTGCCTAACTGTATATTTCATACTGCCAAGAGATGATAAAATACACCACGATATTAGGGAAAACTATATAGAAAAGTTTCGATATGTTTTTAGCTACTAGATCAGATTTGTGAAAAAGGAGGCATATATACAGGGGATTTAAAAAAATATTTTAGACAATTTATTCACTCATTCTTTTATTCATTCATTAATTCATTCAGTCCTTTATTCAACTGATTTTTATTGAGCACATCCAATACACAGGACACCATATTAAGTACAACAAAGTATACAAAGATGAATGTGACAGGTCCTCTACCATTAATAAGTATAACATCATCTAGAACTGAATTTGAACTAATATGTAACTGGTAGTGAAATATTTGGACCACCTAAAACAAGGATGAACGGTTTTGTGACAAAAGTTTATATTCTTGTATTATGTCAAGATGACTCTGAAGTGAACAGATTTTTGTCTCAGAAATTATATGTTATCTATTGTGATGTAACAAATTATCCTAAATCATAGCAGCATACTACAACAAACATTTCGTACCTCACACATTTTCTGAGGATCAGGAATCCAGGAGTGGTTTAGCTGGGATTTTTGGCTCAGGTCTCTCATGAGGTTGTAGTCAAGCTGTTTGCCAGGGCTGCAGTCGTTGAAGGCTTAACTGGGGCTGGCCGATGGCGCACTCCCACAGCTGTGGGCTGTGGACAGGGTGCCTCAGTTCCTTGTTGGCTTTTGGGCTTTTGGAAGAAGGTCTCAGTTCCTGTTATATAGGCCTTTCCCTAGGGCTACTCTGGATGTGGCAGTTGGCTCCCCCCAGAGCCAGCAATCCAAGAGAACAAGCAAGGAGGACACCACAGTGCCTTTTATGACCTAGTCTCCAAAGCCACACCCTGGCACTTCTGCTTTCCTCTGTTCCTTAGAAGTGAGTTACTAAGTCCAGCCCATTGGCAAGGTGAGGAAGATTAGGCTCCATATCTTGAGAGGAGGAGTATCAAAGACTTCATACATATATTTTAAAACTACCACGGTAGTGATGTTAACATCTCACTTGCATAATTTATTTGAATTTTTTTGCATCTAGTAGAACTCTGTGCTTGCATGTACTTGCTACTCTTTTGTTGGCAACTTTTTAATCATAAATTTTCTATTTCCTAAATAGAAAAAGCAATATATGTTCATTACAGATTATTTAACAAGTGTAGAAAAATATGAAAAACATGAATCACCCATACATAATTCTACAAACCAGACATAACCACATTTAACATGTTTTTGGTTTGTAGTGTTTATGTACAAATAATATACATACATATGTAAACATATATCTATATATCTTATGGATAATAAACTTTTGGATATTGTATCTATATTCTTATCCAGATACATAAGGAGAATTTACTCTTATAATTAAAATTTATTAGAAAACAATTTAAGAGCTGAATAACATTCTATAGGTAAATGTTTCTTTCCTTCCTTAATCGTTTTTTCCTATTTTTGAACATTAGGCTATTTACTTCCTTTTATCACAATAAATAATAATCATCTTTACATAGTGTCTTTGTATATATGATTATTTTCATATAAGATCCTACAAGTAGAATTATAGGATGAACTTATTACTAAATTGCTTTCAAGGAAAGTTATATTCATTTGTAATTCTACCAGTAGTTTAAGTGCCCATCTCATTGTAATCTGTTGAGTATTTAATATTATCATTTCTTAATCTTCTTTAATAGATGAATTTCACTTTTCTTTGCTTTGCATTTTGTTGACACGCCAGTTATTTTATTGCGTCTCTGCTCCAAATTCACTCTTTGCTGTTGTCTGTGAAAATGTACATGGGAGCCTTTCTATATGCTTCCTTTGCAGCTTACATGATGTCATGCTTTGTCAGTAGGGGGCACTGGAGAAACACTGTAGGAGGAAGTTGGTCTTTCCCGATTCTGGGAAGCTGACTTTCTTCCTTCACTGCTCTACCCAGAGTGGTTTCTTCAGTGCTAGTGGCCTGTAGGGTGCAGCTTTCTTTATCTTGTGTTCCTCCAACCCCTTTTGTAGCTTTTGATTTGGTTTGTGGTGGCACAGTCTGGAGGCCCAGTAGAGGCCTGTGTCCTAGCTCAGATCATTACTCTCCATACCTTCTCAACTTGGTGCATGCTCCCAGAGAGTGCCTTGTGGGGCTGATCATCTGGTAAGCCACTTGCCCCACCTTTGTCCCATGCGGCCTCAAAGATGCCACAGTCCAAGGCATACACAGAGTTGTACTAGGTTCCTGCAGAGATGGCCCCTGCAGCCCCCGCAGTCCTAGCAGCACTGGCAGCAGCGCCCCTGATTTTTTTGTGTGCCTACCCTTCAGCCTCAGCTTACCCCCAGACTTTGTTTCCTGCAGACCTCCAGACACCGACACTCTGTGATCTGGCTTTGTGCCTGCAGAGAAGCCCCAAGGCCCTCTGCTCACCTGTCCACCTGATCCACACTCCAGAGAGTTGTTCCTGATTGGCCTATGACTGTGGCCCTGCTGTGTCCTGGGCAACCAGAGGATGTCTCCCCTATCCACTGGGCTGCAACCACACCTTCTCCAATGAATTCTCAGCTCCTCTCTCCAAGCTTTTCCTTTGTGGGGTATTCTTCCTCAGCCTTAGGGTACCCTTTGGAGTTCTCTTCACATTTTTATAGTTACTCTATCATCACAGCTAAGTTCTTTATATTAAATTTCCCCTGTTTAAATGACTGTGTGGTTTCTGTCTCCTGATTAGACACAGACTAATAATACAACTGATCACTATTAAGATACAACTTTTTTCACATACTTATTAGCCATTTGCATTTCCTCTTCTGCAATTTTACTTTTCAAGCCATATGTCTTATTTATTCTATCCGGGCATGGTATTTTTTAATGCATTTTGTAGACTTTCAATATATTAAAATGAATCTTTTGTCATGTTTATGGCAGATACTTGACACTACTTTAAATAAGTTAACTGAATTTTAACCATTACATTCGCTTTACTTTTGTGAGATGAGATTTTCTTAATAACTGATAGATAATAGGATGAAGATGCAAGCCCATGTCTTATTCAATAAAGGAGATTTCCTAGGACTGAAAAGCTCACAGCACACTTTTACTTTCGTCTGGTTTAGGATTTG